TAGAATTCAGTGGAAGCAAGGAATTGAATCAAAGTATGTGTCCTAGACACTTCCTAGATACTGGGGAGGTTGTTTGGCTTTCCACAACAGATGAAGTGGCAGTTTGTTTGTATTAAAAGACAAGATGGTCTCCAAAAGGTTAGAAAACTGGTGACATTCAAGTGGCAAACATCTGAATTACTCTTACAAGCTATGTTACCTGTCTTTATATTCATGGCTGCCCCTAAGCTTTGGTGATTGGGTTATAGTGCCATTTCTAGGTAACTTTTAGCTCTGCCTGCTTCCTTAATTTCAGTGTTATCTGTCACTTTAGATACAGATATTTCTGTGTCAGCAAAGCCTTCATCAAATCCCTCTCCCTTTCCTTTCTTATCCTCACTGAAGGAAAAGGATAGACATTTTTTTCTCATGGTTCAAAAGACCTGTGTCTTCTGTGGCTCTTTGCCCTTGTCTTTTGCTCAGGTGTGTCCCTTTTATCTGTCCATTAAAACATATAATAGTGCTCTATACATTTTCACTTAAAATATATTTGTAACTGCAACTACAATCTCAGGACAGAACTAGTCAACCCCAGGGATTAAATTCTCAAAAACACATAAAAGTGCTTGTCGTGAATCATCAAAGTTTATAGAAAGCATTTTAAATGACCTTCATTCTAAGGCTTCCAGATGGAAAATAGCAGGCTGGAGGAGTCGGTCACTCTTAGGCCACAGGCAAGTTCCCCAATCTTACCTCTTTGCCTTGGGCTCTCCTCCGGTTCACTGTAATTAGCAATCATCTTCCAGCCGAGATGCTTTGGAGAAAAATGAAGCCAATTGTCAGGATTTCTTATTAAAAACTAAGACAAAAATAGAGAATGTCATTAAATAAAAAATCTAACAGAATTGTATGGGCTACAAGTTAACCCTTTAGTTTAAAAAAAAACTGAACTGTGAAAGAGAGTAATCATTAGTTGGTATTGCTCTACATATACAAGGAGTTAAGCTGACTATGGAAAGAGGTGGAGATGACCTTGTGGGTTGAGTTATTATTGAGAAGGGTTCACAAATGGAGAAAGAGTCCCTCCCACTTCCTTCTTTCTCAATGAACATAAAACCAACAGTATTTTTCTGCTGGAATGAAACCTCTTGCTTAATTACAGCAACGGCCCTCTTGCAAGTTTAGACTCTACTCTCAGGAAGTACTTGCTGGAGGTTTTTCAAATAATTTAACAAATCATTTGCTGGTTTAAGTCAATTTAAGAGGGTATTTTTTTTCAAAAATGAGCTAACAGCAATTGCAAGGGAAATCTTATCATGCAAAAGGTAACTAAAGAACGGGAATTCATTTCTTCTTCAGTTACTGATTCTAATCAAGACAAATTACTATATCTAAGCCTCATAGTTATATAATGGATTAAAATACCTATTGATTTTGCCTTGAGAATCTATCATTAGTGTTGAGCCCTTTCAGGTCCCAGTGAGAGAAAGATCACCAAGTCCTCTTTTTCCCCACCTAAAAAAATTTATGATGGTGAATGAAATGATACTTGTTTCTTTCCCTCCTCATCTACCATGCTGTATTTCTAGTTCTCATAGGTAAGAGAATTCAAAGGTATTATACACACTGGACTCTGCCCTAAAAGAAACAAAT